TCTTTATGATCACTCTTCATTCATTCGTTCTGTGAATGTTCCATTGTTGCTATGCGCAGTCCTTCTCAACAGAATGCATATTTGAAGAGAATTTTAAAAAAACGAAAAAGAAGAAGGCAAAGCACATAGAAACCGAACAAAAAACGTTGCCATGCTGCAGCAGTAAGAATCGAGTCATTTGAAAAAAAACAAGCAAACAGTGTACGACACAAAAAAGTTTCAATCAGCAGCAAACGTGTTGGTTGCAAATATTCGACTGTGGTGAGTTAATTATTACGAAGATTCGAAAAGTAGAAGAAACCATTTTGAATGCTATATACTTAGTGCCGAGACACTACGAATATTAGGAACGACCCAAGGCAAAGCCGCTCGGTCGGATTCTGTCGGATGGATTTCAAATCCATTTGAATCCGACGTTTCAGACGTAATCCGATCTGGATTCCTTTGCACAGGATTCCGACGCAAACTGGAGCGGATCCGATCGGTTTTTAACGGAAGACGTCGGATTCCGATGCAATCCGTTTCGGATCCGATGGTTGCCAGTAAGATCCACAGGTTGGATTCAATCTCTTGGGTATCTCGATTTCTCTAAAAGGCACCCAAGAGATTCAAACCAAGGAAAGCCGCTCGATCGGATTCTGTCGGATGGATTTGAAATCCGCTTGAACCCTTCGAACGGATATTTTCCGACGTAATCCGGTCCGGAATCCTGTGCAAGGAATCCGACGCAAACTGGTTCGGATCCGATCGGTTTTAACGGAAGGCGTCGGATTCCGGTGCAATCCGTTTCGGATCCAATCGGTTTCCGGTAGGATCCACAGGTCGGATTGAATCTCTTGGGCGATTAGTATAGATATGACATTGACAATCATGGTTGACTTTACATAAGTCGATCGATACGTCAATATTTGTGAGTCACCGATTGTGTTGATTCGCTACTCATACCGTAAAAGCTGCTCGAAAAATGCTGGTTAACTGTAGTTCTTCTGCTTGATTTATCTGTATACCTTACTTCATGCATATTTTTAATCTCTTAGAAAAATGACTGATTTTAGTCGAAACAGTGCCTCCTAGGGTGTGGGTGTGGATTGGGTATGGGTGAGGATTCCGACCTTCTCTTTAATCACACCCACACCCGCCCACATCCACCCACACCCACCCACACCCATACCCCACACCCACCCACACCCATACCCCACACCCACCCACTTCCACATCCGCCCTGACACCAAAATCAACACCTCACTCACAGCCACACTCACACGCACAATCAAATCAACACCCAACTCACATCCACGCACACATTGACACCCAGATCAACACTCCACCCACTCCCACCCTCATACTCATCATGACACCCAAATCAACACTGCACTCACTCCCACTCTCACACTCTACATCCACACTCACAGCCACACCCCAACCCCACACCCATACCCACATACCCACACGCCACACCCACATACCCACACGCCACACCCACATACCACACCACATACTCACACCCCACATCCAGAGAATACATCCCATTCCGCGATGTTGAACATTCCGGAATCAGTTCCCGTCCCGGAATCAATTCCACCGATTCCGGAACTAAATTCAACCAGGCCACAACCCGATTCCGGAATCCTTTACAACAGATCCTATCGATTCCGGAATCGCTCAGCATTAGCATCACTCTCATCTCCTGAGGCTTATAACTGCATCTAATTCCGGGTATCGTACGGATCCGGAATCGCAACCATTTGGAAGAAATTCCGTGGAATTCCTAGTGATTTCGGAATCGCTCAGCTTTGACATCACAGTCATCGGCTGAGGCTTACAACTGGATGTAATTCCGGGACGGAATTCCGGGTATGGTACGGATCCGGAATCGCAACGATTTGGAAGCAATTCCGCGGAATTCCTAGTGATTCCAGAACCGCTCAGCCTTGGCATCACACTCATCTGCTAAGCCTTATAACTGCATGTAATTCCGCGACGGAATTCCAGGTATTGGACGGATCCGGAATAGCAAGGATTCCGAAGGAATTCCGCGGAATTCCAAGTGATTCCGGAACCGCTCAGCCTTCGTATCACTGTGATCCGCTGAGCCTTATAACTCGATGTAATTCCGGCACGGAATTCCGAATATTGGACGGATCCGGAATCGCAAGGAATTCCGCGGTATTTCTAGTGATTCCGGAATCGCTCAGCCTTAGTATCACAGTGATCCGCTCAGGCTTACAACTGGATGTAATTCCGGGACGGAATTCCGGAATCGCTCAGCCTTGGTATCACACTCATCTACTGACCCTTATAACTGGATGTAATTCCGGGTATCTTACGGATCCGGAATCGCAAGGATTTGCAAGGAATTCCGCGGAATTCCTAGTGAGTCCGGAACCGCTCAGCCTTCGTATCACATTCATCGGCTGAGCGTTATAACTGTAGGGTGTGGCTGTGGTTGCGGGTGTGGAATGTCGGGTGTGGATGAGCGTGTGAGTGTGGATGCGGATATCTTCTCATCACACACACACACACACACGCACACACCCCACACCCACACACACCCACATCCACACGCACCCACACCCACACCCACACGCACCCACACCCACACGCACCCACACCCACACGCACCCACACCCACACGCACCCACACCCACACGCACCCACACCCACACGCACCCACACCCACACCCACACCCACACGCACCCACACACACACCCACATCCGCACCCACACCCACACCCACACCCACACCCACACCCACACCCACACCCACACCCACACCCACACACACCCATACCCACATGCTCCCACACCCATACCTACCCACACACCCACACCCACATCCATCCACACTCAGACTCACGCCAACACCCACACCCACACCTTCAATACATCGATAAAGATTGATAGAATAAAAACAGAAGTTGTAATTCCGGAATTGGATGGATTTGGACGGAATTTCTAGTAATTCCCACCGATTTCGGATCCGCTCAAATCCGGAATTCCTAAACGGAATCGGATGGTTATTACATCGATCAAGATTGATAGAATAAAAACAGAAGTTGTAGTTCCGGAATTAGACGGAATTGGACGGAGTTCCTAGCAATTCCCAGCGATTCCGGTGTTGTTTAATTGAGGAATTCCGGAATTAAACGGAATTCCTTGTAATTGTTGGGGACTCGGTGTACATTCTATTCCGGAATCGCTGGAAACGATTCCGGGGTCGGAACTGGTTCTGGAATGTTCAACTTTGCCGAATAGGATGACTGCTCCACACCCAAACCTGATATGTGAAAAAACTCGTACTGCTTTTTAAGTTTTTGTGTCAGGTATTTTGGAAGATATTCCGAAAAACCACCAAAAACTTTTGAAATTCTGCCGTGTCTAAAATGGCCATGAATGAAATGCTCCAAATCCTCCAAAAAAAAAGTAATTGAAGAAAATCGACAGAAACATGGCGGAAATCGTTAAAAAACACATAGTTCAAATGAATATCTCTTAACATAGCCCGCCAAAATCTGAATATTGGTTGAGGAGGTATGATGATTTCAAATGAAAATATTTCAGTGTATCTTTCTACGGTTGAAATGCTATTGTTCTTTCTCTTTTTTTGAAAAATTCGATTTCCTGATCGAGTTATATGAGAACATTATTTAGGCTTAAGAACTTATCTTTTCTATTTATTCTCCATACTCACACCTGTACTCTTAGTCATTTATGATTCCATGAGATTTATTCATTAATTGACGATTTATCAAAGATAGTGACATTTCAACGGGTGCGGGTGTGGGTGTGTGGGTGTGTGAGTGTGGGGTGTGCGTTTGGGTGTGTGGGTGTGAAGTGAATGAAGAACATTATACCCACACCAACACCCACATTCCACACCCACACCCCACACCCACACCCTACTTAGAGAAGATTTTGAATTACAAAATAACAATTTAAATAAACAATCACTATTAAAGATGTCAATCATAATCAATTCAGGCTCATTATTAGACAGGAAATCACTAAAGAACAGAAATCGAGTTTAAAATACCATTGAAATCATCATGCCAACTAGGTTTCGCCTCAAGGATACTCGTTACTTGAGATACAATGTAAACTTTCTTATCCGTATCTTGTCGTTTATGGATGAAACCTTGAAGACGAAAGAGTGACTAACAATATATCTATCATATATACGTATGAGATGAAACGACATTAGTTTAGAAAAATAATCAAATTATGCTTCACTAATCACCAGTTCTGTAGAATCCTATGTTCAACATACGAACTCTACTATCCAGCTAGTATTAGAAATCAACATACAGACATAAAAAAGATGAAGTTATGTTTTTCATGTCTTTTCTTTTCAGTTTTTATAAAATTCAGTGAGTCGCTCGGCAACAAAAGTATATATCATTAGTTCATTACAATGAGTAGCTCAGGGGAGCGTTTCACCGATGTTGAACTGGACAATAAACGCCTACCAGCATGTTATGGTTACTTTTCATGGAAATTATTACCACTGGAAGAAGCTATGGGGGACCTGCATGGCCTTCTACCAGAAATCAATCGATATGTAAAAATGGCCAAGAGACACTGTACGTTTCCAAATGATCACAATTTAACCAAAGATGAAGCTGCCACAGTTTATCTTTATACTATGGAAATGTCGGACGATGCATGTGTGTACCGTATTTTAAATCAAACACTCCGCGCTGAAGATCGGGCGAAAGTTCGTCCATGGTTTGCCTATTTAAAGTTGTTGGATTCTGCGACATCCAAATTACCAAAATTTAAAGGTGTAGTCTACCGCGGAGTTAATAAAGATGTCAGTGGGACATTCAGAAAGGGTGAAAAAATAACTTGGTGGAGTGTAAGCTCATGCTCAGCATCCGTTGATGTCATTTCGACATTTCTTGGCAAAGCTCCTCAAAGTACACTATTTAATATCGAGTGTTCGACTGGAAAGTCCATCGCAGCATATACATGCTACCCGAACGAAAATGAAGTTATTCTAATGCCAGGTACAACGTTTAAAGTTGTAGCAAATCCGTTACATCATCATGGTGGATTACATATTGTACATTTGAAAGAAATTCTTGATGATGATGATGATGATGAAGACGATGATGAACAACAAGAAGCACGTGGATTGTCAACTTCAAGTGCTTCGGTTGCTACATCTATGGCGCAGAAATTCGGCAATATAAGTTTAGGTAGGAAAAAGAATTTTCAAAATAGCTATCGCAAACATGGATAAAACAATTGGCAACACTTTTATTGGGTCTCATTCGATTTCCGAGACTTTTCGAAAGCGGCCAAATAAGAAATTCTAAGACTTTGAGAGGTTGGCTGATTTTGAACCAAGTAAAAGAATCAACTTTTCGAACTGTTTCTCTAGTTCTCTAAGATCGACAGAACCGAAATTCAATTCTCAGATAATGCAAGTTATTTGAAATGCGTATTTTTCGGTTTCGCTCTGTTATATTTCCATCAAATCAAATACTAGAATATGCAAAGCATCTTGATCTTATTTCTGAAAGAACTATGACACTTGGACATGCCTATGATCTAGACAGGACTTGAGACTATAGGTCAACTGAAATTGCATCAAAATTGAGTTCCTCTCGATTGAAAACACGCCAATAATCTTTTTGATTTTCTATTTACATATTGTAACACTTTCTTCAATTTGGAGATGTTCATGGATCACGTGACTAGTCCCTCCTCACCTCTTCCACAGAGCAAACATGCATAAAAAATACCCATAATTTGTGATAATTTTTTTCGCATCTAGCACTTTTAATTTCTTTGTATGAGCATAGCACCATTTTTTCTACTTCACCGTGTAACACAGATGAATCATATTTCTGCACTGAAAATCTATTAATGATGAGCGTAATGTTTGAGTAATATCTATTTCATTTAAGAAATTGCAACATCAACGAAAATATATTGTTTTTCTATTTATTCAATCAGTTTACAGATTCATTTCATGTATTCCTTTTCTTTATCCATCAAGCAATTTCGAAATTTCCGAAGCGCATTTAAAAATTTAATACAAACTTTTCTCGCTTTCCACTAAATAGCAATACGTCCGAGAGATCTGCATTGGCTCTATGTAGAAACATTTTTCTTCTAAAATAAAATTTTTCTGTTCTTGAAAATAAATTGACTGTGTAAAATGGCATATTCAAGAAACAAGGTAATGAAATAAAATACTTTTTTTTTACCGATCGATAACTCATGGAGTTTACTGAGCAGAAACACATTATCAAAAATTCAAACTTCATGCTTTCTTCGCTTGCTGAAATTGTTCTTCATATGATGACTTGAATAATCAACTGGAAAGATGATGAGTTGGCCATAATGGTTTGAATTGGGTGTGTGAATGAATAAATCAATAAGATTTTTCTTAAAAGTATAAAAAATTAGCACATTTTCGTGTCCTGAGCAGTTGTTTCTTAATATTTCATCTGCATATAGCTTGAGCTGATCGCTGCAATTCTGAGTGTTCTGTCCGACGATACAAATGTGATAAACACGAACAATTTCATGTACCAAAAATTTATGACTTTTTCGGCTTTATAATATACTTTTATTTCTAAGAATAGTCGATTTCTCCGATTGAATCTTTAGTCGTCACATATGATCTTAGATGTTGATTTCGAGGGTCTCTTCCTCATCCTTAGTGATTATCTGATCCAAAAATAGCTCGTCTGTTGATTTGCGCTTAGAGAAAGCTTTTGAAAATTGTATTAGGATCGCACTGATTGAATACTAGAGAAGTGGACGCATAGAATACTGTATTTCTGATCAGCCTATGCCTCCTCAGCTTCATTGTACAATGATGACGATTAACTTGAAGTTCGTCCACCTTTCAAAAGATCTTCTATCAGAAGTATAATCAAGCCAGCATATGTCATTGCTATAATTTTCTTCTTTGCAAACTCATCTGCATAGAAGATTGATGTTATGTTTTTATACAATACTGAATTTTTCTTCCTTTTGACTTTCGATGATTAAATATTTGTTCAGAAAGAAAAATATATGTTCGCTGGGCTTCGACGGCTTAAGGGTTAGAGCACTGGTCATGTTCACCAGTCTTGATCATGGGTTCAATTCCCAGTTGCAGCATATCTTTTCTTATCTATTTGTTCATTGAAAGTCAAAAGGAAGAAAAATTCAGTGTTGTATAAAAACATTATATGTATTCCTTCCTATCCTTTAAATAGTTAAGATTGATTTTACTGAAAAAATTTGTTTCAGATCTTATCAGGATTCTGAACACGTTTCGTGTATACACTCTTCATAAGATCTATATCTTAATGAACTTTTGATTCAAACGCAGTCTAAAGCGAGTGAGAATCCTGAGAAGATTCGGAATATTGCTCATTTGAAGATTGCTTTTATGTGCTTCTTAAATCTATTCCAATTTATAGATGGTAAAAAGCGATGCAAAAATCCGAAAAACAATCTCGTTTGTGATTTTTCGTGATCCTGAATGTTCATCGTTCGCACATTTCTTCCACTATTCGGTCGTTCTCGGAAAAATAAAGAAAGACCCTTTCAGAATATGTTGACGTTTTGAAGTGAAAGCATTTTTGAATGTCCCTGATTGCTTTAAAAGCTCGTTTTTGTTTTGTTTTCATGGTGTTTTGTAACAGAAATTATTCTATTTGGATTCTACTTCTTTATAGTTAACAAATAGATTAGAACTATTCTAAAATAGAAATTTTGAAAAGATACTGAATTGGTCTGAAACTTACTATATTTCTTTTGAACTGTTTTATTTGATGCATGTTAAGATCTTTCGACAGATCATCTAATGACCGTATCAGAATCATGAATCATCTGATAGAGCACCTTAAGAGCCTTTTTAGAAGAGACAGCAACGTTTGATTTCAAGCTAAATTCGTTTTTCAAAATGCTATTCTGAATCTATAACTGACGAAACGGTGAAGTTGGTCTAATTCTCGACTCAAATTTGGTGCATTAATAGATCATTATCGAAGAGTACGAAAGATGCCTATATAATTGATAGCAAAAATTCGTACAGATGACAATGACACTATTTTCTCTTCCTTTAGATTCTGTTCAGCCAAGTTACGTCACAACCAGTGCCTCTGCTGTGCCAAAGAGCACAACGACGGCATCAAAATCTCAACCTGCGCCAAAATCAGGTACGTTGCTTTAGATACGGTAGTACTTGTAAAAAAGCAATTCTATGAGTCGTGAAACTCAAACATCGCTAGAGGGTCTGGGTAACCTTTGTTTTGCTACTTGTATTCGACGCTACAACGAAAGAACTCTATATCGCCGACGTAACATATCGTTCACTTTTGAAATGAGGCTGGCGCCATTAGGAGCACAGCAATGTCGAACTAGGAAGATTTCATCTTTTTTATATATCTAGTATATTCATAATTCTATCACTAAGAACTCGAGACTGGATGCTGAGTACAACACTTAGTGCTTTTGTACCTTTTTACTTGAAAATCATAGGTACAAAGTGCATCTTTCCAGTGCAAGTATATTTTTTTGTACTTCACAAGTGTACTTACGTACTTGAACTAAGTACAAATCTACTTAAGTACTGGTACTTAAGAGAGAGTGCGCGATAGGACCATCCTAGACCGCAGGG